AGTGACCAAGGCATGGCTGTGCGCACCAGTTTCGTCACACGGGGGCAAATGGCTTGGAAGTCACCGTGCTTTTCGAAGACCACGAAGCACCAAACAGACGCCACTGGTACTGCTGTAACGTTCGTTGCTTTCGACGACTTCAGGTATTTTTTTTTTTTTGTTCAAGATGGCCACCTACCCGCCTTGTCGAGGCTGTTACCCACAGGGGAAATGTCGCGGTGTGCTTCTCGGGAACCGTAGAAAATATAAGTTGGTCGGCCACCTACAACAATATGACTTCATTTGCTATTCTACCATGGGCTCGTGGAATAGATGAATTTGTTGTGTTCTTTGTACGAAAAAATAAATAAACTTTTGTGGTACCGTGAAAACTGGAAAAACCTGACAACAGAAAAGACAAGAAAAATCCCGCGCCTACAATATGTTGTGTAGATACTTTGCCGCTTGTTCTCGGCGATGTCGGGCGCATGTTCGCGGGCCGGTCTACGCATACGTATGTTTATTTCTTGCTGCATGTGGCGTGCGGTAAGGTTGGGAGTCAGCGCATGTTCCGGGGTCTCCGCACGGTCCTGAGTCATCGCACAGGGGTGCGACGCAAGTTAAATGGCTGAATGATTTTATTCGATTTCCGCCAAGGGTTCCGGAGTCACCGCACAGGGGTGCGACGACTCGCAACCTACATAGGGTAGCTGAGTGCCAGCGATTCCGGGACAGCTTTGACCCTGCGACCAGGCCAGTGCTGGCGTGTTGTTGGCTCTGCATTGTAAATAGGTTATGGTCGCACACCGCACGCGGAGGCGTGAAGGAAATGAAACACATGGGTATTTCCATTGGATCGGTAAACTTGAACATTGTCCATTCAACTATTGTAAAACACGAGAAAGAAAAATACCAGCCATAAGCCAAATCAACTTGTACCAGCAGTAAGTACCATGGAACAGCACCACGGAACAGCAGCACTTCCATTGATCCAAAACACGGGAAAGAAATGCACCAGCGACGAGCCAAATCAACTACTTCGAATTTATCAGCAGTAAGTATGCACCATGGAACAGCACCAGTAAGTACCATGGAGAGGCACCACGGAACAGCACCACGACTACCTGTGTTCTACTTTCGCTACCGAACAAAATTCAAACGCCGTCACTGCCAGAAACAGCCAACAGCGCCAACCTCCATACTGCTGGCATGATGCACACACGAGAATGTTCGGGCCGCCAACCTGCCGCTGATGTGCACGTGTGTGTGTACGTCGCGTGTGTGGCCTGCAATCGCAGCACAAATGAGGTGTCCGTGCGTCTGCAAAGATTTTTGGAGCACCGCACATACCGGAGTTATCGCACAGGGGTGTGCGTGAGTACTTACTGACAATATCGCCTTCAGAGTTTTACTCAGGACCGCACGTACCGGAGTCATGGCACAGGAGTGTGCGCTACATGTCAACTTAATTTACTTACTTCGATTTCCGCACAGGGTCTGGGGTCTCCGCACGGTCCGGAGTCATCGCACAAGGGTGCGATGCAAATTATATGGCAAAAATGTTTAAAAAACGACCGCACGGTGGTGCGCTGGCTCGCAACCTTGCTGTACTCCGGTGTTGACTGATGGATTGCGTGACTTGTTTTCTTTTAGCTAGTTTACTCCGTAACTTTGTGGGCGCGATAGAGACTGCCACAGGAGAGTGTCGAAGTAGGCGAAAACCTTTACTCATCTTCTCGATACTGGGAGCACGCCTTCGGGTAGGTGCCAAATGTACCGAGCGTTTGGTCAGCGTTGAAGGTGCAACGTGCAGCTGCAGTCATCAGAGTTCTGAACTTGGCGGTCCGCAGCAGTAGCATGATTCTAACCTTGGTAAGGTTTTCCGGTTTTGTTGCATTGGGTTGCATCAGATTCTACGCCCCGTGAGCCCGGTAGCCTTCGCATGTTTTTGGGTTAGGGTTCGGGTTAGGGAACACGATCTGCGTCCCCCCTCCCTATTCTGTTTCCTAATAACACTAAAGTCCCCGCGAAGGCAGTCAGTAGCCGATTTTCAAACCTTGATTACCCCACGATGCGATGATAAATTACAGCCGGAATGCCCTCGACGATACGCCCTTTTTCTTTTGCTGGAGAATGAACGAGCTTCGAAAATTGGTGTCCCTGGGCTTGCGGTACATACCGTTGTGCAACCTACGGCATCCTGTAGAGGGCAATGCCCGGGATGAAGAACCGCAGCAAAAGCCCTTTTTCTTTTGCTGGGGAATGAACGAGCTTCGAAAATTGGTGTCCCTGGGCTTGCGGTACATACCGTTGTGCAACCTACGGCATCCTGTAGAGGGCAATGCCCGGGATGAAGAACCGCAGCAAAAGGTATCTCGGAAGGCACACGGGATGATGGGATGGGCGCGGAAGCGCGAACACACACAAATTGACCAATGTGACAAACGGTCTGTAGGCTTCGAATATTGTAGTTTCGAGGCCGTGGCTAGTGAAAGCGTGCTGAAAATCTGGGAAACAGGGGATAAAACGGGGCACTGAATGACGGATGACGAACAGGCTATTCTGCGACCTGCACGGGAACGAGCTTCTGTACCACAAGCCAAGGGGGACCGTCAAAGGGGAAACGGCGGGGTATGACGCGACGCCCGCGGGCAAGATCGACATGTTCGAGGTCAGAAGATGAATTTTGGGAGAAGTTGTTGTTTCTTGTCTCGCCATGCCAGCATCATGTGACGGTCTCTTGAGTTGTGTTCACGAAGCCTGTTCTTTGGCTGATATTTGAACTGCTGCAGTGCTGCAGTATGTCCCTTTTGAGCCACGGTGGTTGTTTCATACGACTTGGTACTTGATGGGGTGTGTGACGCCTTCCCACTCCGACAGAGTCGATGCATATTCAAACGGCTGAAGGTCAACGCTGGGCAACCAGCAAGGCTAGGCAAACAGCTATGCGTCTTGAGAGGACCGTTAGTTGGTAAGGCGAAATGAACGCATTTCTCGGTGGTTTTATTTATTAAGGCGGTTTTAAGCCACGTGCTCCGAGCGCCTCTGGCGTGTTCGGGTAGTCGTCCCGCGAGTTATGGGCAGGTTCGATCTAGTCCCGCCGCTTCGGATGTGCCAGATTCGATTTGATCGGTCTTTTCGCGCGATTTTAGTATTTTCTGAACACCCCTCGTTGAATCCCTTTACTTAAAGCTACAATTTTTCTGACATGTTGTTAGTAACGCCGTTTTCATTGTCATTTTGTAATATTACGCACTTTGATCTTCGTTTTTGGCGGCTCTGTTGTTGTTCAGATGAAGCTGGTGGCAACGACGAGATCGAGCGAGGAGGGGCACCGTGACTTGAGAATGGTCAATCAAGACAACCAGGCGAGATTCTCGGAGGGGGGGGGGGGAGGGGGGGTGTACTCGTAGTCGTGCATGCCGTAGTCGTTAGACCATTGACCTCGCATCCCTACAAAGCCGGGACGGAGCACGCCGGGTTCCCACCGGACCAGGCTCTCACATCACCAAGCGCGAAGCGCCGTGAGATATTCGGCGAGTCGCATGAAGGGTGCGCTGCATCCTGCTAAGGGTTTTCGGCATCTTGTGCATACTTCCTTGCGTACGGATGACAGCTGCGTATGAATTAATGTATTTTCTGGTGCTTTCACTTCCAGAGACAGTCGTAAGCACTGTGTAACTGCCTCGAGGGTGCTTGACCATTTTAACACAACGTGGTGCGATCATCCCCCTTGTGCGGAGTGATGGTTCTCCACCTCGCACAACATGATCCACTCGACCACCATTATGGTTACCGCCAAAAAAAAAACGGAGGTAAAAAAAAACACGGTAACCTGGTTGCCGAGTTCACGAAGTGAATTGGCTTGTTTTACAACGTCGTTGCCAGGCGACGAAAACCCAATCCCGATGGCAAAACACCGGGAGGGGCGGCTTGTTTTACAACGTCGTTGCCAAGCGACGAAAACCCAACCCCGATGGCAATCACCGGTGGGAGGGGGAGGGGGATATAAGATTGCGCAGCGCAGCGGCAAGGAAAGCATTCCAAGACACAAACAGCGGCAGCAAACACGTCCATCTGCAAGCCAACATCACACATGACAAACAAACCACCAAACAAGGCAACAGGATCACAAAATAGAATGCCCATCTACAACTTGCAGCCACGGAGTAGACAAAACACGAAACGAAGGAGCAGCCGCAACCCACCTCTCCGCCGGGTCCACTCCATACGCCTATCCAACT